AAGTGGAACTAATAAAGGAGATGAAACTCTTGTGTCTCCTAACTTGTCACCTGTTCTTCGTAGGAGCAAGCGAGGAAGGATTGAAAAATCATTTGGTCCTGATTTTCAAATATATTTAGTTGAAGGATCAAGAGATGAAATTGATTTCCAACACTCATACTGTTATCATATTGATAATGATCCAAGAACTTATAGTGAGGCTATGAAGTCTCAAGATGTTGCTTTTTGGAAAGAAGCAATAAATGATGAGATGGACTCCATCATGGGAAATAATACTTGGATCCTGTCGGATCTCCCACCCGGTTGCAAGCCTTTAGGCTGCAAATGGATCTTCAAAAGGAAGATGAAAGTTGATGGAATAACCGGGGCTTCTAGCTCTAGTGGTAAAGGGCTTACAGCTGTGAGTACCGCCACCTGGGTTCGAATCCCGGCCACTGGGGAATTAACATTTCGGCATCGCCAGGGACAGAGGACCGACACGTGTCTACACGTGGCTAGTCTGGACCACTTATGTGGGGCCAGGATACCTCTGTATAATTCAAAAAAAAGAAAGTTGATGGAACAATCGATAAATTTAAAGCTCGATTGGTTATTCAAGGCTTTAAACAAAGGGAAGGTATTGATTATTTCGATACATATGCTCCAGTTGCTAGGATCTCTTCTATAAGATTATTAATAGCTTTGGCAGCAATTAATAACCTTGTGGTTCACCAAATGGATGTTAAGACGGCGTTTTTAAATGGTATTTTGGAAGAAGAGGTGTATATGAAGCAACCTGAAGGTTTTGTTATGCCTGGCAATGAGCATAAGGTGTGTAAGTTAATCAAATCATTGTATGGGCTAAAGCAAGCACCTAAGCAGTGGCATCAAAGATTTGATGAGATTGTTTTATCGAGTGGTTTCAAGTTAAACCAATCGGATAAGTGTTTATACANGATACACTAGTAATCCTAGTACTCAACATTGGCAAGCCTTAAAAAGGGTGCTCAAGTATTTGAAAGGAACCATTAATTATGGTTTGTCATATGTCGGATTTCCTTCGGTGTTAGAAGGGTATTCAGATGCAAGTTGGATTACCAACATAGAAGATCATTCTTCTACAAGTGGTTGGGTGTTTTTGCTTGGGGGAGGTGCTATTTCATGGGCTTCTAAGAAGCAAACTTGCATTACAAGTTCGACTATGGAATCGGAATTCGTAGCATTAGCAGCTGCCGGTAAAGAGGCAGAGTGGCTAAGAAATTTAGTGTACGAAATTCCATTGTTGCCGAAACCAGTATCACCAATTTCTATCCATTGTGATAGTCAAGCTACCTTGGCTAAGGCCTATAGCCAAGTGTATAATGGTAAGTCTAGACACCTGGGCGTTAGACATAGCGCAATACGTGAGCTGATCACTCATGGGGTGATAACAATAGAGTTTGTTCGGTCTCAACAAAATTTAGCTGATCATTTGACGAAAGGATTAGCTAGGGACTTAGTGATTAAGTCTGTGAAAGGGATGGGTTTAAAGTCCATTTGAAATCTTTAATGGTGGGATACCCAATTCCCCTCTAATACGACGTTAGAGGCTGAATTCAANTTTAGCTGATCATTTGACGAAAGGATTAGCTAGGGACTTAGTGATTAAGTCTGTGAAAGGGATGGGTTTAAAGTCCATTTGAAATCTTTAATGGTGGGATACCCAATTCCCCTCTAATACGACGTTAGAGGCTGAATTCAATGTGGAAAGCCTACACTTAAAGATTGAAGCACATTTTTTTTTAATCCCAAAGTATGTGCTTGGACCTGCAAGAAGAGTTAGGTTGAAATATATTCTTAATAAATACTTTGAAAAAATGCATTTGCAGGTGCATGACTGAAAGTATTTACATATATGAGTGTGAAGTGATGCCGCTTCAATAAGCTGGGACTTGGCTTTGTATGCGCTCATGAATGGATAGGGACACATGGCTTATAATAGTGTCAAGTATAACATTTAGAGTAGTGTGGAAACACGTGTGTGTATTATCTTCATGTGTTCAAAATGGGTTGAGGGATTCAATCCGTAGGACATCCTGATTCTCGGACATTTGGAATATGTAATACACTAAGATGAAAATTCAATTCTTCGAACATTTTCATTTATGCATGAGTTTGATATATGTATTATTTATTTAATGAATCTATGATTACACTTAAATGGGGGAGGATTGTTATATATTTAAGTGAATGTGAAAGGGTGCAAGTGTTTATTTGAACCATTGCAATTGTTTATGAACAATTACAACTACATAAATGAAACATTGCAACTCTTCATTAACCATTGCAACCATTAGTATTAACCATTGCATCTTTTGGATTAACCATTGCAACCATTGGTTGCAACCTTTCAATCTCTATATAAAGGGATGTAGGCATTGGCAAATGAGATAGAAAAAAATCAGAAACAAATAGTTAGTAAGAGAGTAAGAGAGAAATAGATTCATTGTTTAAAGATCATCAAAGATCTTTGAAGAACACATATAAACACTAAAACTTCTTTTTGTTTCTCTTGTATCTTAACCTAGAACAAGAGTGAGACTTTGATTGTCTTATCGTACAAAGGGATTTCGTGTAACCCAAAGATTTGGAATAGGGTCGAAATACTCTTTAAGGAAAGTGACCTCGTGCGCGATTCAATCATTATCCAAGTATATAATTCACAAATTTCTGGGTTACAACCCACATAACCAACAGTTTTATTATTATTATTTGTAGAGGAGATGTTGAAGGCTAAGAAGATGCTAGCTAAAATGTCTGGTGAGATAAGATCGCCATTGTTGGGGATTGTGAGCATGGCTGAGAGATTTTCTTCCATCACAAAACTTGATGAAGAGCAAAGACGGTTGTTGAATGAAATGATATCGTCTGCCGGTTTAGCACTTGAGAGAATAAACGAGTTTCTTGATCTCTTTGAGGTTGAATCAGGTAGAAAGAAACATTCGTTCCAAAATAATTTTTAATTTTATTTTCAAAGTTCTCTTGTTTTATTGTTTGATCAAAGTTCTCTATATAGTTTCATTTTATGTTAACATCTTGTGAAAAAAATAATTTCAAGTGTTTGCTTGTTTCTACTTGTTTCTCAAGAAATCTTTTGAGAAATTTTTGCTTTTTACAGGTTGAGGTCATGGGTGGTCAATTCAAAGTGACACGTCAAGTCAACGCTCGTTCAGTACCTCTACAAAGTTGACCAGACCACATGATGATCCACTAAGTGATAAGATGTCACTAAATTCCAGGATTAAGATGTAACTTAGTTATCATGTTACATTAATGCTGATTAATGTTGTGTTACGTATAAAGAACAAATATTACTGCTTTTTTACAAAAAATGTTACGTTAAGGCTGATTAATGTTGTTTTACGTATAAAGAACAAATATATTCCTTTTAACTTTAAAACTACATCTTAAAAACCTTGGGAATATATTATTGTTTGGGAAATGATTTTTAACTATCAAGTTAAAAAATTAGAGCAGTTAAAATCTTTAATATCATTAATGAATAATCTATATCTATATTGTGATGTGATTTTTCATAATGGAGTTTTCACATTAAAAGTTAAAGTTCTTAATATCCTTAATAAATAATAATAAAATAATATATAGTTACCAGTATTAAATTTTTAATTATTAAAATCTAAATAATTTAGTATCATTAATTTGATAATTATCATTATATAAAAAAAACTTATATAATGTTATAAATTATTTATTAACCTTAATAAATCATTAAATTTGTTAATATATAATTAACCATAAAAAATAATTTCCTTAATTTTCTAATTAGTATTATGACAAAATAATTGTATTATGCAAAAAGTTATTTAACATTTTAAAATCTTTCTTTTAATCCCTACATATATATAAATTTATTATATTATAAAATTTTCAGTTATAAAAGTTTGATATTTAATTTATTAATAAATAATTTAAATGCTTAAATGTTTCAAGTTGATTTTACGTAATAAAAACAATAATAATAGTCACAACATTTCCTGTATCTAACTTATCTTTTATTTTCCCCCAATCAACATTTTGTAGAGGGATGCTTAAGTTAAAAAAATTCTTGTTTAATTTTTTATTGTTAAATATTTTAAACGTATGAATGATGGTTCATTAATAACTTATTTGTAGAAGCCCCTTTAGTCTAATAGTTTGATTGATGGTTCATTAATATTTCTATACTAGCAGGTCTAGATTTCAGTTCCTGTAAATAGCGATTTAGTAAAGCAGTTAGACGTAGATTCTTATAAAGTAGATAGTATTGTCGGTTGTCGAATAGTTTATCTAATCATATTTGCAATTATAATATTATAATAAATCTATTTTAAATAACTTATTTTAGTGGTATTTGAATTGATTATATAACTGTGTATAAATATATGTAAAATTATTCAACCAGAACGTGAAGATAAAAAACCTAATAATAATTGTTTGTTTATTTTATTTGGCATAAATTTTGGTAGTGATATACATTTATTGTGTTGTAATCTTCAAATATTAGTTTTGGAAGAATATTGATCTGTCAATGATGAGAAAGAATCATACGAAAACCTTATAAATAAAAACTAATTTTAGAAAGATATTTGTTTTAACATTAATGTAGAAAGATAGTTTTTGGTTAATGACACAAAAAGATCCGTATGATGTCTAATAAGGTTAGGATAGGATATGTGTCATTAAAAACCTTAGCAAAATACAAATCAATCCCCTAATTACTGTTAGACTTTTTAGAAAACCCCATTTATGACCCCGTTTTTACTTCCTCTTCCCAAAACAAATAACTCAATTAAGAAACAAATAATTATTTTTTACACGACTGGCATATCAAACCGATTTAGAAGAAATTTTTTATTAGTATATTCTTTTTTGGATAAAGTTATTACTTACAAAAAATAGTTTCTCTAATTTAAGACTAAATCTAAAAATCCCTTTACAAAAAAAAGAAGACAAGCTATTTTTTTGTAAGTGATTCAAGAACAGGTAAAACCTTGTAAATGCTCTTTCTCTAGATTTGTAACATTTGTTCTCTGAGAATTAAGTTTAGAGCCGTTCTTAATTTAGTGTGAGAAGAATAGAGTTTATATATCTCTCTCTTATTCTCTTCTTAGTTTCGTTTTAAATCTACAGGTAAAAAATATGTAGAAGAAGTTACATGTGTTCTTCTTTCTCACATGAACCCTTATAAAATCTCACGCTTCTTGAATCAATATTTTGAAACATAGAATACCATTTTTTCTTTCGATTTTCAATTTCTAATCACACAAAAAGTGAGGTTTATGTTAGGAAAATTGTTTCTCATAATGTTTGGGGATGAATGTAACATGTTCAATGCAGTTTCTTCTTAATTTCTTTTTCATTTTCACCGTTTATTTTTTAGCCAATGTAACGTAACAGAGTTTTTACATGTTTCTTTTTATTAAACTGCTACTTGATTCAACAGGAACATTAACCATGGCTGAAACAATAGTTGAGATCTCAGAAGATGACAAGAGGCTAACGAAGCTTTCCTCTCTAAAGAAGAAAGCAATAAATGCGACGAATAAGTTTAAGCACTCCTTGACCAAGAGAGGTCGAAAGCATAGCCGTGTGAGGTGTGTCTCAATCGTTGATGAAATCGATACAGAGGAGTTGCAACACGTTGATGCTTTCCGTCAAGCTCTTATATTAGACGAGCTACTTCCCTCGAAACACGATGATCATCATATGATGCTTAGGTTCTTGAGGGCAAGAAAGTTTGATATCGAAAAGGCCAAACAAATGTGGGCTGAGATGCTTAACTGGAGGAAAGACTTTGGTGCTGACACCATTATGGAGGTAAACGGCTCTCTTCTTTAATCTCTCGTTTTGTCTTTTTTTTCTCTCTAAAGAGATTCTGTCTTTCTCGTTTTAAGGACTTTGAATTTGAAGAAATTGATGAGGTGGTCAAGTACTATCCACAAGGGTATCATGGTGTTGACAAGGAAGGAAGACCTATCTATATCGAGAGGCTTGGCCATGTTGATGCCACGAAGCTCATGAAAGTGACAACAATCGATAGGTATGTGAAGTACCATGTGAAAGAGTTTGAGAAGACTTTCAACGTCAAGTTTCCAGCTTGTTCCATTGCTGCGAAGAGACATATTGATCAGAGCACAACGATCTTGGATGTTCAAGGCGTGGTATGTGCTTAAAATAACTATATATATATATATATATATATAATCTTTGTAAGGTTGTTTTTTTGAATGATTCGATCTTTTTTCTTTTGCATTTGAGGGGATTAATAATTTCAACAAAGCTGCAAAAGAGCTTCTCCAGAGTATTCAGAAAATCGACAATGAAAACTACCCTGAGGTTTAGTTTTGTGTCTTTTTTTCTTCGTCTCTAGAAGTTACTAATGGTTATGACACAGAACCATGACTCCTTTGTGTTTGCATTTTTCACTGTAGACTCTGAACCGTATGTTCATAATCAATGCTGGTTATGGGTTTAGGCTTATATGGAACGGAGTGAAAACTTTCCTCGACCCCAAAACTACAGCCAAGATTCACGTAAACTTTCCTTTCCTCTTGATTTTTTTTTTTTTTTAAAACTATACTTTGTGTTTTCTTCATCTATAAATTTGTAACAAATACCTTATTTCTTTTCATTAATTAATGGCAGGTACTTGGTAACAAATACCAAAGCAAATTGCTGGAGATCATTGACGCCAAGTGAGATTTTGACAACTCTTTATATGTGACCTTTAAAACTTTTGCTTTATTAAAGAAACTCTGTTCTACTCATTGTATGTTTTTAGTGAACTGCCTGTGTTCTTGGGTGGTAAGTGCACATGCGCAGACAAAGGTGGATGCATGCGTTCAGACAAAGGTCCATGGAACGACCCTGACATCTTCAAGGTAGACATTTATAAAAAGAAAAAAAAACAGATATATAAATAATTCGTTTTAAATATTACAATACATCTTCTGACCTCATATATATATATATAAAACAGTTGGTACAGAACGGTGAAGGTAGATGCCCGAGGAAGAGCTTGTCAGGGATAGAGGAAAAGACAATCTCAGAGACCAAGAACGTAACAGAAGAGACTTACAAAGAAGCTGCTGTGGAGAAAGAGAAGCAGTTCATAGAAGCTGCTGTGGAGAAGGAGAAGCAGTTCATAGACAAGACCGTGGACACTGGTGCTTATCCTTCTACAGTAGCCAACAACAATGTTCCCGAGCCTAAAGGTTTTTTTTAAGTCTATTGGTTTAGCTTATAAACCGGGTTTTGGCTATAAATTTTATTAAACCGGTTAAACATTTGAAAAAATTTCAGATTTGTTGACTCCACCAGTTGTTAATACGTTGGAGAGGAAAGGGTACTTATACGGCAGCATGATGGCGTTGCTGATGGGGATAGTGGGAATGATGAGGCTAACCAAGAACATGCCAAGGAAGCTCACACAAGGGGTGAATGCGTACCCTGACGGTGTAACGGTTATGCCGACGCAGGAGTATATGGCGATGGTTAAGAAGATGAGTGATCTTGAGGAGAAATGCAAATCCATGGAGGCTGCTCAAGTTGCTGTTTCTATGGAGAGGGAGAAGGTTCTTGACGCTGCTCTTCGTCGTGTTGACCAGCTTGAGTTTCAGTTGTCTGAAACCAAGAAGGTGAAGAAGCTTTTTATCTCTATTACTACTATCTCTTGTTATATTTTATAATTGGTCTTTTATTTCTTCTTTAGGCACTGGATGAGACGATGACGAGGCAACATGAAATAATGGCTTATATTGAGAAGAAAAAGAAGAAGAAGAGAAAGGTAAGAAGAACACATATTACATACTACTTTTTAATTGCTTTATAAATAAATAATTATCTCAACTTTTTGTTTTGAATTTTCAGTTCTTGTGTTTCTGGAAGACTGCTTCAATCTCCTAAACTTACATTTTTTATACGAATGTATACTGGAGAAAATATAATGACGAAGTCTTTTGCATTTTGTTCAAAGACTCCATTTCTCCCTTTGTGTAATTGTTTCTCCATTTTTTTCTATAATAAATAATTATTTTGTTAATATAAAATTTATAAAGACCAACTTCTCATCATCATCTTCATCATCATAAAAGAGAAAGAACTCTCCTCTTTGAATTAATTCGAACATAAAATGAGATGAAAACGTCTGTTTTTTTTTTTTCTTCTAATGAACACTTGTTCTGTTCCTCTTCTTTATAAACGCAAAATCTACAAAGGAAAAGAAAAAGAGAAGGCAGATAGATAGACGCTTCTTCTTCCTTCTTCTTTTAAAAACAGAACATGTGCTTCCTCTTCTTCTTCTTCTAGAAACAAAAAAAAACAATATTGATGATGAAATTAGGAGTTGCTATTACATAACATAATTTGAATGAACTACAAATTCAAAAAAGAAAAGAAAAAAACCGACCTGGGACTGAGCAAACTCTTGACGATCAATGTAAGCGAGTAATTCCTCTTGCCTCATCAGAGCTTCATATAGAGCCTGCTCCAAAATAACAATACATTTTTTAGTTTCAGGTTCTAGTTTTGTTTGAACATGGTAGGTCTTTAATTTTTACCTTTTTGGTGGCTATGAGCTCGGCTTCAAGGGCGTCTACACGGCAAACAGCAGCGTTAAGCAGTTCTTCTTTCTCGTAAGGCATCTCATTTGGCTTTGACTGCAGTGCTCCAATTTTCTCCTCAAGTTCCGTTAGTTTCTTCATCACTGTATTGAGGAGCTCAGCCTCCTCCTCTCTAGCGGCAGTGTTTCCTTCGATTTGCGGTTGCCTTGTAGGCGGTGGAAGCTGCTTATTCACAAAACGGTGTGATACTGTGCGGAAGAATGTGAGAATCGCCATCACAATCGCCATGAAAAATACTAGGACGCGAGTACTGAAGCTTTCATGCTCCTTTGAGACATTTGGAGTAACAAGAACTCCTGTGAAAAGAGATTATACACCAACGTTTCAGATTTTTTAATGTTTTTCCAGTGTTAAATGACAAAACTGAAACCATTCTTTCACTTAAGTTATAATAAGTTACCTTTGGATTGAACCTTGTTGATAGTGGTGGGTTTAACCTTCCAGGTGGCGTCAACAGCTTTGTCAACCATTGGAACATACTCATCATAACCTGCCAAACTACCACCAGCAAAGCTCGTTTCACCAGAGCCAATCTTTGCCTGCAAAAACAACCACTAGCAAGATTCAGAACCACAAAACTAGCCAGTAATCTGCAAAACAAGATAAAATATATAGAAAGTGCCATTTAAATCATCATACCTCTTCACGAACAGGGGTCAAGCGGAGATGAGAATAACTCTTTACTGCCTTTGGAGACACAACGATATCTTCAGCTTCAGAACCTGATTCTGCGGTTGAGGTGTCACTTCCCTTTATCCATGGATAAGATGGCTTTGCATACGCAATGACTTTCCCCTCGCTGTTCAGAACTTTCACCACCTGCTTCGCTCGGTGAGCTCCTCCGTGAAGAACCATCTGTAGTCATAATAACCAATTTGTTTCATTTTCTTTAGCTTAAATAAACTGGATAATAATACAATATGAAAAGCTTGGGAGTGTAAAGAGATCAAAACAAGTAACCTTCAAAATATCAGGATTTTTCCAAGGCCCTTTATCAGAAAGCATACAACCTCCCTGATCAGCACAAGTACATGTCCCACCCAAAAAATCAGGCAACTCGCTGCAACAAATAAAACATCCATTACAGTGTAAGCAAAACACAAGAGAATCAAATTCATTCTTTAGGAGTGCATAGCTACATACCTGGCATCGATAACCTCAAGCAATTTACTCTGATACTTGTATCCAAGTACCTACATCACAATCCATACCAAGTCCAGATGAATACCACATGCCTTTAGATAGAAAACTAAGCCATGTAGTGTTAACTTACATGAATCTTAGAAGTAGTTTTAGGGTCAAGAAAGGTCTTCACAGTTGTCCACAACATGCGAAATCCCGTCCCTGCATTAATGATAAACATCTGATGTAGCGTCTCAGGATAATTATCACCATCAATCTTCTGCAACCGAGTCACAAGCTCCCGAGCAGACTTGCTAAAATTCTTAAACCCAACTCCTTGCACATCCAAAATCGTCGTACTCGAGTCAATATGCTTCTTAGCAGCAATGGTACAAGAAGGAAACTTAATCATAAAACTCCTCTCAAACTCCTTAACATGATATCTCAAATACCGATCAATCGTCGTGACTTGCATCAGCTTGTTGGGATCAACTTTCCCGAGCCTCTCGATATAAACAGGCCTCCCTTCTTTATCCACACTGTGGTAACCATGCGGGTAATATCTCAAAACATCATCAATCTCTTCAAACTCAAAGTCTTGGATTATCGTGTCGGTACCAAACTCTTTCCTCCACTGGATCATATCAGCCCACATCTGTTTCGCTTTCTCGATGTCGAATTTTCTTGCTTTCAAGAACCGTAGCATCATGTGGTAGTCGTCGTGTTTTGTGGGGAGGAGCTCCTCCATGACAAGGGCTTGTCTGAACTCGTCGACGGCTTGAAGCTCCTCGACGTCACGGACGTCTTCGATGGAGACGGAGCTGACACGGTTGTTTTCGTTTTTGCGTCTCTTTTTTTTCTTGAGTGAGTGTTTGAACTTTGTTGAGGCATTGATGGCTTTCTTCTTTAAGGAACCGATTCTTGTCTTTCTCTCGTCTTCTGAGATCTCGAAGTCGGACTTTCGCTCTTTCTTCTCGTCACTGCTCAACAGTCCCTCAAAACCTGAATAAAGTATCGATTTTTAATTTTTTTTTATAATTTCTTCAAAAAAGTAAGAAATTAACCTAATTTCTGAAAATTGAGGTTCCTAATCAGCAAAAAAAAAAACCTAAATACCCAGAAACGAAATTGCAGAGATTTTTATTTTTAAGTTTGTAATTAACCTCAGAACCTAATAAAGTATTGATTTTTTTAAAGTTTGTAATTTCTTCAAGAAACAATTAACAGCTAAAATTAACCTAATTTCTGATAATTGAGGTTCTTAATCAGCAAAGCCCTAAATACCCATAACGAAATTACATTATTCGATCATACTAATTGAAACCCTAGAAAGCAAAATCGTCAGATCTGAGATACTTACATGGCTTTGCGAATCGATCAACAGGTCCTGACATCTAAAGATTGAGAAAAAACCAAAATCCACAAACACGAATCGCTCTTTGTTCTATCTTTCTTGCGAATCAACACTTCCTCTCAATTAACCAGAGAAACCCCTCAAATTTCGCAAAAAAAAAATAAGAAAAAGAGAGCAGGGAACAAAATTTGAGAGGTGAAAGTGGAGTAGAATTCGGAGCAACCTCTGGACTATTTCTTTTTTGCTTTTATGTTTCTTTTATGATTTTCTAGAAAAAGAAAAAAAAAATCTAAATTTATTAACTTGTCACCTCTATTATTTACACTCTCTTCCTATTCTGACCCCCATACTTTTCCTAGTCCCTTCTTGTTCTTCTACTAATATGGAAATAAATCTTCAAATCCTGTACTTTAAATTGGATATATATATATCTTGGATTGGAATTAAATCTTAAAATTAAAATATTGTTTATCATTTGTTTCCAATTAAATTTATTCTCCTCTTTAATTTTTGTACTATTTACCATATCTTAAAGATTAAAATCCAATAATTATTACTTACAAAAAGAAGTTATGGCTAAATATCTTATGCATACCTAGAAGATTATGAATCAACAACACATTTGGTTGAAGGAACCGTGGGTTGGGAATTAAATGTAAAAAATCGTGGTTAATTCTGTTAGAAAATTTAATATGTGGCTTGAAAATAAAAGTTGGCATGAGATTGGGGCGTGCTTATAAATTAATAAAAATATAGGCGTGAAAGAGCAGTAGAACAAGAGATTCGCTTTTTGTCACCAGCCGACGAAGATCTGACGGTCGTTAACGAAAATTTTAACGGGTCTACATTTCAGTAGGCTGTAACGTCGTAATCAGAGAAGCACACTGTACAAAAAGTTAAAAAAATATCAATGAGAATTTCGCCGACAAAGCGGAGCAGTACACGATGAGTCAACAGTCATTGGCCATTTGTTGTCGGATTTTTAATTGTTTTCCCCCAAAATATTCCTTAATTAATCAACTGTTTGTAGTAAACAAATTTACTCGAAATATATAAAGTGACTAAACAACAAGTAGAATAAACGAAAACATAAGTCTTCGTATAATTGTTTTAATCTCAATAAAAAGATCACTAGTTATGTTTTCTATTACGACAAGAAACTAATCTGCTTATTCGTTACATCTCACTTTTATAAGAATTCCAAAAATCATCATCATCATCTCCCTCATTTTCGTCGAACTCATCTCCACCGTCCGATCTTACGCCATTCTCAACATCCCCACCGTCTGATTCCTTAACTCCAGCTACTCCATCACCAGCTCGCTCATCAGTCTTCTCAGACTTTGTCTGCTGCTCCTACACACACATTTGAAACGACAGCGTTTGATGTTTAGTTTACACACACATTTAAAACGACAGCGTTTAATGTTTAGTTACTTCTAAGGAAAAAAACTAATTAACAGATTTTGGCGGCAACAAGAAGAAGAGTACAACGGAATATAGCCGAATGCTTACATTCTCAGGAACATCAGTAGTTGTCTCTGCATCCTCTCCAGCTTCTTCTTCTTCTTCATCTCCCTCTTCTCCTTCCTTTGCAGCTGCAGCTTCTTGTTGAAGCTTCTTAATCACACCATGATAAAGTTTAAGCTCTGCAAGAAGAAACAAAACTTTCCAAATCACAACCAAGAAACTAAACAGAGAAGAGTGAGAGACGTAAAGGATCCCCTCACGCACCTTTGGAGCGTGTTGATAATGCATCATTAAGCTTCAATGGATTCTTGCGTTCTTCCAACTTGTATTTCAGTTTGATCTGTTGATGCGTTCTTTCAGGAAAGAGTTGTTGAACCATCGATAGATTGCTCCCAAACTCTTGAATTCCCTAAACCAAAAGAAAAGAAAGATCCATATTATGAACTAATAATTATCCTAAAGAGTCTGTATTTAAACAATCAGTGAGATCAAATTTATTTACCTCATAGAAGAGTTGTGTGTCCTGTTTTGACCATCGAGTTCTGGGAGTTTTGTTCATGTACGTTTGATAGTTAACCGGTGAGTCTGGTTTAACTTCTACGTGATTTTCTTGATTTTCTCCCTCCTCCATACCAAACTCGTCTTCTGCGTCAAAACCTTGATAATAATACTGGTTATCCTCTGATGCGTTTGTATTACTGCACCATAACACAAAGTCCGTAAGATAAATAAAACAAACTAAAAACTCTGAGATGAATATAGTATATACCTTTCTTGGGTCGGCGGCGCAACAGGAGGAGCTCCCTTTGCTTCTTTTTTCTGTATGTTAACATCAAGGAAAGCTTAGGATCCAAGCAACAAGGATACGCCACAAGCTTAAACGGAATTATAAATGAACAAAGAGTGATTCTTACCTCCAGCCATTCTCTATATGCAACAAGGCGAAGCATATCTCTAATAGGCAGATGTTTGATTTCATCATCTGGGGTTTCAAGCAATTCCTTCTCCACTAAACCACCAAAAAAATGAAAATAGTTGGTCACAAGCTAAGATGATAAGTTTCAGTTGAAGGGAATCATTATGTTCAGCTCTAAGTTACATGTTCTGTTTTTCTGTCGACGACTTGAATGCTTGAACTTCTTCTTCTTCTCAGGAGACTTATTAGGTTCTTCTCCTTCACCAGTGGTTTTCTTCTTTCGACCTCTCTTCCTTTTTCCCTTTTTGTCAGTACGTGCTTCCGCTTCATTAGACTGAGTTTCTCCTTCTCCTATAGTTGTATTGTTATTACTAGGTGAGACAACATGATGTTCTTGTTCCAATACGCCAGGAGCCTGATCAAATATATTAAAAAGCAGAACCAATCAAAAAAATATATATCCAAACTTAACACAGTATGAAGAGCAAATATACTAACCGGTTCTCTGGGGACTTCAGGAATATTATGTTCTTCTTCTTGATAACCTGTAGTATCCGTATTGAATTCATCGTTTCTTGATTCCTCATTGACCATAAACTCAGACTGGTTAGCACCAGTTGTGTCATCAACAGAGTAATGCAACTCAGGTTCTTCAATCACAGTGTCGAGCAATCTAGGCTTTGGTTGGAACTTTCCAGCATGTTTCTCTACGCAATACAACATTATAATTCAGTTACAAGATATATTTAACAGAATCGAAGTATCTGAATGCCAAATATTACCATATGTACTGGTGATGCCTTCGTCTTGTACAATATCAAGAGATTCCATGTTCCAATGGCATTCTCCTTCTTCATCCTGTAACAACATTAAAACTTGCAAAATCAGTTTTATATTAAAAGTAAAACAAGTGAAATATCAGCTTAGAAAGAGAGCATCCACACATACTCCAGTTTGCATCCTTTGAGTTTGATCATTAATAACTTCATCCGTTTCACTAGTAACAAAATCTCCAAACGTTGCAGAATCTTGTCTTCTGGGATCATCAGGATATGCAGTTTCCGCCTCTTTGCCATCATCACATCTTTTTCCCTCTGAATTTAAGTTAGTACAAGCACGAAGACCAGAAACCCCTCCTGAGACACTCTAAAGAAACAAAAGAAGAAGAGTTCCGTTAAAAAACATGTAGCATACACTAAAATAAATCTCAAAAAGTAGAAAGAAAACCACTTTACCTCTTTAGATATAGTTCCCATGTCGGATTGGTTAGTAATTCCACCATCAGGGGAAACAATAGTCTCAGAAGCTGAAACATCTGCAAAAAACAGAATCACACATCATCAACTTGGGAACAACATTATAAACACACAAGTTAGTTGATAGGAAGAAACAAAACCGCTTGGATAAGTCGATGACGCATCAATAGAAACCGGATGTTCGCTCTGTGTTGAGAGATTCTCCTTGGCAACATCAGTAGAGAGTGTTGTTGTTGGCTGAGAAATTGAGACAGAAACTTGCTTCTTCTTGGGTTGTGGTCTCCCTCTTGGCTTAAACTTTGCACCAGCCCTAGCTATTAAGATCCAAAATTCATATGTTTCAGCCAAATAAAACTAATCAAAGTGAACAGAGAAAACAAAAAAAAACCTGCAGGTGCAGCAGGTTCATCATCAAAGTCCAAATCCATTGTAAGTCTTTTCACCCTCTCAACAAAGTCTCACCTCCCACTTCAATAAAATACAAAAAACAAGATTAGTGACAGATCTCAAACACACACACACACCAAACACATTCATAGTAAATGTAAAGCAAGAACTATGTTATTACCAATAAGAGCACAATTCCAGAGAAAATTCTAACATTGATCAAGTGGGATTCTGATTTCTAAGTCTTTGTAAAAGCGGTTACAGCATAAAAATCAATCAAAGCGTTACTCTTTAACGAATGGATAGAAAAAACTGAAACTTTTTAGGCGAAGAATCAGAAACTAGAGATACCATATAACGACGAAACGTTCCGGCACCGTTGATGCAGTCGCTAGGGTTTACGCTACTCGGGAAAAGTGGCTTTACCGATGGAGAGATAGAGGATTGGCCGTGAATGGTCTGCGTTTAATATTGGCTAGGTTAAATAAAAAACAAGGACTGTTAACAAAAGATCGTGCGGGCTAGTGGTTATTGATTGCGCCTTCAGAGTTCGGTTTTGACCTAGCGCCTAGCGTTCGATTCTTCAACCCCGCACAATGTCTCTCCTTAAAAGCTCTTTTATTAATTAGGTTCCCTAGTGGGCCGCTTAATGGGCTTTATACGTTATTCAATTTGTTAATGTTTTTGCAACCTAGTTTGTTATTGAAGAAACTAGTATTCTGTGAAATGATGGTCTCGTCTTTTATATTCCTTTCTTTTTCGTTGAATATTTTTCTTCCGTGATGGCTTAGCTTCACAAAAATCCAGGTCGCGTATCCTTTAAGATACTGAGACTGGGACATGGTTCTTTCTTTCGTGTTTAATAAAAATTGGTCACTCGAATATTATTAGTTTTTATAGTTCGGAATATGTATAGTGCTGTCTTCTAAAAGGCCCCGCCTAGGCGCCTACCGACGTCACTACGAAAGTTGCCGGTTTATTAGAGCATATGCATTAATGATCCCCTTGAGGGGAGTTCATCATGCTTTTTTTATTATTTTTTTTATTTTTTTTTTCGTTTATTTATAAAAAAAAAAAAAAAAAAAAAAAATAAAAGAGCCAATCGTGGGCCGCCACGTGGCGTGGGGCCCACGAAATAGTGATGATACCGGATCACCCCAGAGAGCCTGCGTGACACGGGTTCA